GTTATGCTGGTTGGAGAATCTACTTTGCTGGATACAGGCAACGAGAAAGGGTTTATGGGGGAAACAGCGTACAGGCATCGTATAATGCGGTGTTGGCTTTCTCGCGGTGATCGCGAGATGCCAGTGCGGCGGAGTATTCTTCCCGCCAGTGGGCCATTTAGTGATACTGTAGATAGATAGATAGATAGTGGTGGTGGTGGGTGTGCGAAAGGTGGTATTGGTTTTGGTCTATTTGATAAGGCAGTCATGGATACATGGTGGTGTGTTGGAGGTGTTGGGCTAGGAGTTGAGGGGATCTGGTGAGGTTTCGGAGGGTGCAGGTCCCTTGAAGCGCATGAGGTTGAGGGATGGATGATAATCGGGTGACGATGACGATGGGGTAAACAATGAAAACATGCAATCAATACTTTACTTAACGAATGCTGCAAGCAGACCGCCATCTCCACCGCCCGGACGGACCCTCGTGCAATGATCATCTTGCCCGCCCCATCCACTCATTCCATTGCAGTTCACCGTCCACCGTCCAGACCCAACCCAACCACAAACTAAACTACCTACTAAACTACACTAATTAATCTCCCTCTCTCTCCTCTGCTTGTTGTGCCCCTTTCACTCCACTCACCACCTCCCACCACCAAAAATAAACAAATCCACCACTTCTCCTGCACCCCCATCCTCCCTCGGCATCTCGTCCCAATCGCCCTTCTCCTGCCGCTGGCGTCTCCTCCATACCGCATAGAACCGGTAATACCTTACGCATCTCCACCATGTCGTCACGGAAGAAGGTCTTGTTGAAGGTAACCCGCAACAAAACATCCCCGAAAACAAACCCTTCAACGTCGCGAAAACTAATCTTCGCTCTTGCTTGCTTGTATCTAGGTGATCATCTTGGGTGATAGCGGTGTCGGTAAAACGAGTTTGATGAACCAATATGTCCGTGACTCTCTCTCTCCTCCCTCGCAGCAGCAGCAGCAGAACTGTTTCACTGACTTTCTTTTCCGCCCAACAGGTCAACAAGAAATTCAGCGCGAGCTACAAGGCCACAATTGGCGCCGATTTCCTCACCAAGGAGGTCTTGGTGGACGACCGTCTGGTGACGATGCAGGCATGTTCTCCTCGCTTGTTCACTACCAGCCTCCTAGCTCGCCGTCGTTGTCATTTCTTGGATACTAACTTATTGCGAATATAGATCTGGGATACTGCGGGACAGGAGCGTTTCCAGTCCTTGGGGGTCGCTTTCTACCGAGGAGCCGACTGCTGCGTGCTGGTATACGATGTGAACAACTCCAAGAGTTTCGAGGCGCTGGATAGCTGGCGCGATGAGTTTTTGATCCAGGCTAGTCCTCGGGATCCGGAGAATTTCCCGTTTGTAAGGGATCCCCCCTCTTTTCGGGCGGTGTAGTGTGGTGTGCGGTCACTGACACTGGCTGGCAGGTGGTGATTGGTAACAAGATCGATGCGGAGGAAAGCCGACGGATGATCTCCTCCAAGCGGGCGATGACCTTCTGCCAGTCGAAAGGCAACATCCCCTATTTCGAGACCAGCGCCAAGGAGGCGATTAACGTGGAGCAAGCCTTTGAGGGTGAGTGTCCCCGCCCGGCCGGTTTTCCCTTGTGCTACGACTGTACTGACCCCCTCGTCCCACGTAGTCATTGCTCGAAGCGCTCTGGCCCAAGAAGAAGCCGAGGAGTTCAGCGGGGAATTCAGCGACCCGATCAACATCCACCTGGACGGTGACCGCGACGGCTGCGCCTGTTAAATACCCTAATCGCTAGACCATGATTTTGGAACGATACTACAACTCCTGTCTTAACTTGAAGAAATGCTGCGCTTCGATTGGTTTGGCTTGCGAACTACGAACTTCTTGCTCCTCTTTCCTAGCACCTGTATATACAATGCGGGTGCCTTTCATGTATCACGCTCCTGTCTCTTTCTGCTGGTTTGTTGCTCGCATGGGTGTTATTGATTGTTTCTTTTTGTGTGTGTCTCTCTCATACTGTAGGAGTCTGAGGGGGGAATTCACGTATTCACACTGTTACACTACTAGCCAGTAGTCAAATTACTCTTTAGTTGGTGGGTTGACCGTCGCGTGCTTATCGAGGTTATCTCGTGATGCTTGGCGGGATGCTATCGGGTTACACCGCCCTCTTTTCAACATTAGTACGGAGTAGTTAACTTAGTTATCAGTACTCCGTAATTTCCCCGATAAATCCTCCCTGCTTATCGCACCGCCTGCTGGCCCCGGTGCCATTTGGACTGGCTTATTGCTGTCGACGCGCTAAGCTGTCTCACTCCTTGCGGCCCTCGCTACTGCCCTCATGACTAGGTCAGGTCGATGACCCTGTTACCCTGTTACCCGGTGAGCCTTTTGTCGGCACGGTCTCCGGAGCGAGTGTCCGTCGCGGTCGCCATTTGAACGGTGTAAGCGGGGAGGAAGAGAGAGGGTTTGAGTTCTTATCTCGACATCTCGGAACCAAACAAGAACGCAAGTCGCGTTTCCCCTCTTCGTGCCCTTCGTGCGGTGCGCTCTCACCCTGAGCGAAACGCGCAAACCGCACACATCCCTCCCACGATACTTCCGACAGTACAGGCTTCCTGCCCTCAAAATGGAGCCCTCAATATCCATCCCGCCGACATCGGGCCTAACCCCGGGGGGTCGACGCACTTTCGGGATCGCATTACTGCTCATCGTGGTCTTCCTCTGGACGGCCTCGAACTTCCTCGCCAGTGTACATACCCCCCTCCTCCGCCCAAATCCCCTCCTTTTCCGGAGTCAAGTCATGAAGGGGTGGGGGAAAGACGACGCGAATTCGCTAACTTAACTTTGTGTGGTGGGTAAAACTTAGACCATCTTCGCCGACAACACCTACTCCAAACCCTTCTTCGTGACCTACGTCAACACCTCCATCTTCATCCTCCCGCTCGCCTCGATCATCGCTGGTCGGGTCTTCCGGCTCTGGCGCGCCGGCAAGCTGTACCGGATTCGGTCGGTGCAGAGTCTGTTGCAGCATCTCGATGCGCATGATGGGTGTTTGGAGGGTGAGGGGAGACGGATTTTGGATCGTGCGGGGGTTGAGGGTAGGAGTAGGAGCAGGAGTGCTGGTGCTGGTGCTGGTAGCAGTAGCTGGGGGAGGGCCGGGGCCGGGGCCGGGGCCGGGGAGCTTTCGTCGGCCAGGTTGGGGTTGAAGGAGACGGCGAAGCTGAGTTTTCAGTTTTGTCTTCTGTGGGTGAGTTTTTGCTTTTCTTTCGGGTTGGTTGACGTTTGGGAAGTGCTAACGTGGCTGGGTGGGTGGGTTTAGTTTACTGTAAGTTGCGCGATGTTATCTTGTTTGCAGGGAGGAGTGTTGAGGGGGCCGGACATGTGATTGACAAGTGGGAGGTAGGCCAATTACTTTGCCATGGCATGTTTACAGTATACAACGGTGGGAAGTACCACCATCCTGACCTCCACGAGTGGTACGTTTACTGGAGAGCAACATCCCCCCACACCACACTCTGCAAGAATGAAAGAAAAAAAACCTAACGAGCAAACCTCAGGCGTATGGACCCTCATCTTCGGCGCCCTCATCGGCGTCGAACGCTTCACGCCCCGCAAACTCCTCGGCGTGATCGCCTCCCTCATCGGCATCATCATCATCTCGCGCCTCGACATCTCCGCCCCTTCCCCTTCCCCCTCGCCAACCCCAGACGCAGACCCGAATCCAGGAGGAAACAGGAGCACCATCCCCCCCAAACCCCCGCACGAGATCGCCCTCGGCGACGCCATGGCCGCCTTCAGCGCCGTCATGTACGGGGTCTACACGATCGTCCTGAAGAAGCAAGTCGGCGACGAATCCCGCGTCAACATGCAGCTCTTCTTCGGGCTGGTCGGCCTCCTGAACATGGTGCTGCTGTGGCCCGGGTTCCTGGTGCTGCACGCCCTGGGCGTCGAACCCCTCGCCTGGCCCGACTCCCCCCGCGTCTGGACCATCGTCTGGGTCAATGCGCTCGCCTCCCTCCTCTCCGACCTGTGCTGGGCCTACGCCATGCTCCTGACCACCCCGCTGGTCGTGACCGTCGGCCTGAGTCTGACCATCCCGCTGTCGCTGGTCGGGCAGATGGTGATCCAGGGGCAGTATGCGAGTGGGGCGTATTGGGTGGGCGCGGCGGTGGTGTTCGGGTCGTTTTTGGTGGTGAATCATGAGAGTCGGGGGGATGTGGGGGACACGCAGGGGAATGGGGATGGGGAGGAGAGCGGGAGGGGGCGGACGAGAGGGAGGGGGAGGGGGAGGACGGGGGCATCGTCGGGGTATGAGGCTATTTCGGTGGTGGAGGAGGGGGATCATCGCGATTGATGGTTTGTGTGGGGTTGTGTTGGGGGGGGGCGGGTGTGAAGTATAGACTGCAGGTGGTGACTTACTGGCTCTTTGTAGCGATTTCTTTGGTTCTTTGGTTCTTTGGTTCTATAGGATGGTATCACTCACTTCTGGTAGTAGGAGGGGATAATGAGGGCGCAGCTTGGCAACTCTTTACCATGACCACTCGTAGAAGTACTTCATCCATCTTCAGGTAAAAAGGAGGTAGATAGTGTACTGCACCCCAAGAGAAACAACCGACTGCCTAGCAGAAGAAAAATGTACTTGTACACCAGCACTTCCAGAAGAAATAAGAGGCGTAACACAATTCATTTCAACCTAGACTGTCCCTATCCATCCCCGCAATCTGTCATGGATTGAAATACCTGGCATCCACCACCCATCAGCATCACACGGCCAGTGACAAGCACAGCACCTAGCGATGATATTTCCAGGTCATCACTATCAGGAAAAGCTCCAAATTGAAACCAAGTATACAGTGACAGACAGCTACTATAGGGCGAAAGGGGACAATTCCCGAGTCTCAGTGTGGAAGTATGAATGATACCAATCACCACTGCCCTAGATGAAAGAAAAGAGTATGTATCAATCCGGAAGAAATTGCACAGACATCCATCACACCAAGACAATACAAAAGAGGGCGGGCGGGCTGTTCATCAAAACAGGTAGAGAAAGTCAAGAAGGCCAAGGGCTTGCTGTATAGCACAAAATACATAAGAAACATCAATATCACTGCAGTCAACAATCAAAGCCAGAGTTGGTGAACGGGTTGGGCAAAGGAGTGGATAAAAGAGTAAGGAGTCGGTTAAACTCAGGCAGGAAATCAATCTTGGCTGTTTCTGTTTCTTTTCTGTCTGCTAATTGCTTGCTGGTTTGTTTTTTTCTTTTTATCTTTTTTACAACTTCTGATTACTTGTTCATTCTTCTCCTCCCTCAGGACAGTCCGGCTGCGCCTGTGGTCCCTGCTGGGGTGGGTTCGAGTTTCTTGCGCGCCACGAGGATACTCTTCAGCGATCCCAGCCATTTGGCCAGCGATTCCTCGTCCGCCGTGCAGAGGCGATAAGATTTCTCTTCCGCGATAATCTGCAGACAGAAATTCTTGGACCGGGACATGGGGTCGATTTCGGCGGCGTCGATCACTTGAGACATCGGGATGATCTTGATGGCGGAGTATTCCTGATGTTGTGTTAGATACCATCAAAGTATTAGTGAAACGAAAGAAGGCCCACCTGCTCATCCTTGTAAAAGCCCAGGCCACTCGGTCGGAGAACCACCCATAACCGCTTCCATTGCCGCATAGAGCCCTTGATCCGAAGACACTGGAGATAGCCGTTGCACACGACCCTTTCGGGATCACGCAGGACCCCGGCGTCGTTGACCCGGCCCGTCTCCCGCGCATTCGAGGACGATCCCTCCGCAAGGGCCGATGCAGACCGATTATGCGCCGAGGGTGACCGCAGGCGGACGCTGGTGTTGCTTCCAGGCCCGTCCGACCATTCCGAGTACGAGGTGATGTCGTTCGCCGAGTGGTCATGAGGAGAGGCGAAGCGCCTCGACTTGTACGCGGGCGACAGCGCGCCCCCCAGTTCGGGAGAGCTGGGCCGTCCGCGCTGGTCGAAGTCCGAGTGGTCCGTGGTATCGTATACTCGACGCTTACTGCTGGCTGCCGCAGCATCCCCCGGTTTGGACAGCGCCAGAAAAGCCTCTTCATCTTCGTCCATCCGTGTCTCGGCGCGGATGTATCTGATCCAATCCTCGGCCTCCTTGTCCGTCGCGGCCTGGAAGCGGTAGTTCTTGGAAGGAGAGAATATGCCAAAGACGTACTGTCGGTTCGATCGGGGCGACCGGACAGAAGCGACGGCCGTTACTTCGGACAAGGTGATGGAGGCACGGAGGCGGGTGGTTTCTTCATCTTTGTACACGGAAAGAAGGTTTGGGCGGAGGACAAGGTAAGCCGGTTTCCACGAAGCTCTAAAGGCCTAGCAGCGGTATGAAGGTTAGTGTCCTGCTGGTGATGAGCAACCAAGAAAGGCAAAGCGACTAACATGTTTGTGCTTCACACGACGAAACACTTTTCCAGTCTTGATGACTCGGTCGAACTCGAAGCTACCGTTCTCATTGACGGGTGAGAAGGTGTCAAGGTTGACATGACCGTTGCGATAGTGGGTGGGATTTGGGGTCGGCGATAGGAGCGTGGAGGACCTCTGGACTTGACCGTCGGGGAGATGGATCACGGGCGCTCGGGCGCTCCCCTCCATAATTGGGGGGCACGAGGTTGAGATAGCCTGGGTCATGATGCCTCACGAACCGGCCGAGGGGGTAAAAGGGATGTGGAATTCCAAGCCAGGATCAATCTGGTGTATGTGCGACGGTCGCGGGAAAGGTTGCGACGGAGCAAAAGGAGCGTTAGGTTCTTCTATAGTTTCGTGGTGCGCATGTACGGGGGAGACGAAGAAGGGGTCGTCATTTAGATGGTCGAGTTGCAGTCGGAACAGAGGATGTCAAGGACAGAGAGAGTATGCGGTCGCGAACACGGTGAGAGGAGGATTGCTACCGTAAGGTCATTGAAGTTGGATCGAAAGGAGAGTTGGGCGAGTTGAGTTGCAGTGGGAAGCAACGACGATGAAGGAGGGAATGCGGCGACAACAACAATAACAACAACAACATCAACAATGACAGGTATTATCAGCAAGTGGCATGACCCAGAGCTGCACTCCGTCACCTTTCGCTTTCATACATAATACATAGAGAGGGGGAAGAAGAGAAGAAAAGGAAAGCAAGAGAGAGAAGAGGATCAAATGGAAGAGGAAATTCAAGGGTCTTTCTTTTCTTCGTTTTTTTTTTCCTGGTGGAAGGAAAGGGGTATCTATCCGAGAATCTACTACGTACTACCGACTACTGACTCCTACTAGTAGTAGTTCGAGACTTGAAATCGAAGAGAGGGGGTCAACATTTTCCCTGCTTTGCTAACGGGACGCATGGACGTTTTTGCCCTCACTGACTATTCTGTTATAGGATCATCGGGTTCTAGTCCAGACAGTGTCCAGCCAGTGTCCAGCCAGTGTCCAGCCAGTGTCCAGCCAGTGTCCAGACGGTGGGGGGGGGGCCAATTGTGAGAGTGAGACTTCGACTGACTCAAGCTCCTGCAGTTTCACCTTGAGATGAACCACGAGCAACGTCATCGAATTATTCATCTTCAGGATTGTTGTTGCTTGTAGTTGTGGTGGTTGCTGGAGTGTTTGAGAAGAGTCAAGGGGGGTCGCAAAAGTAAGTTAGTTAACCAGTTAAGCCTTGAAACGTTCCGCTCGTGGGACGCAAAACCGCCCGCCACGCCCCAGTCCAGGGGTTGAGAAAGGGCAGCTGATATCATGAATAATCTTCGTGACGACAAGCTCGTCTTTTGATTTCTCCCTCTTGAATTTCCCCGGCATTCTTGGTCTATGTCTCCGTAGTTGCAGCAGTGTAAACAATCATCCAACAAGCATTGACTTGCTCGATCCGACCGATGGATGCAAGAATCCTAAGGCTTCCCAAGAATAGCGGAATGCCGGAGTATGTATGCAAGTGCCTTGACCGCAACGCAGATCCCGACGACCCGACATGGCAACACCAGATGCTTCATTCAAGGGTTGAAAGATACAGTAGTCTACATCATGTCCGTCCTTCACAGTAACTGTATGCAGGCTGCGTGTACCTACATAAAAGTTGCGAAGAGACCTACCAACCGACAGACCCTGGATGTGACAGCTCAACGGCGAAGCTTCGGGGTGTCCTCAACTAGACCCGATCTTAGATCTGCACGATGTTCCTTGGCCAAACATGATCACATCTTCCAATCGGACATGCAGATGCAGATACTCGGTACCAGCTTGGAGAGGACTTTTGCTTCCTCTGAGGCAGTCTCTCTCTCTCACACACACACACAGAGCCTGAGCCGGTCGATAGAGATCTAAAAGGCCACCTTGACAGATCCCCTTAGGGCCTGCTGGCCTGGGGTCACGTGTGGGTCCGTCCAAGTGGACACTCAGGGTTCTGGATGCATAGATTACCGGTACGTATTACCACCAGGAGCACCACCAGCCCACTGTTACCATACGTGACAAGCTCAGCTGTGTCGGCCCGAATCCCGTCGGTTTTCCAGATCAGGAGAAGGTTCATTCACGGGCTCATGGAAGATGGATGGATGGTGAGATAACATGCGACACCAGCTGGGAAAACGCGACCTGCATGAATCAGGTTGCTGTTGAGCTGAAGCTCACGGCTTTTCATGAGACGAGTCTTATACTTGTTGTCGCGACGACTGCAGGCACAGTTTCATTCCTTACTTACCATGTACTGTACACACAAATAGCGAGGGTGGCCAGCATGTCTGATCTCGGTCGATGGCTGTTCATGGCCTGGCTGAAAACGTAACCCACCCACACCATCTATCTTCGACTGGGTTTGACCACTCGCACAAGCAAAATGGAGGGGAACGTATTGTTCTTATATTTGCCGTTCAAAATGGACCTGTCAAGCCTCTGCACGAAAAGAAGTCGTGTGAAGGTCGGGCGTCGTCAGCCCCGGAAACTCTATGCGGCTATTTATGCTCTTAGGGAGTCGACACGACATCGTGGCTCTTTATATTGCAGAGCGGTTACGAAGTTAGCCTGCATCGACCTCTGACGACAGCTGCGCCAAGCCAGGTAAGAACCGTGAGAAGGGGCGTCCCAAGATGATCATACCCAGGGTACAGTGTCGCAAGACGTAAATAGAAATTGTACTCCGTAGAGACTGGGTTGATGTTGATCGCGAACTCAAACTGTTTTGCAAGATCGAGCGGCGACTGGCGTCTTCTGTCGACGTGTCTTGCAGGTTAAGCTTAAGGGTCTTCTGGTCTTCTATGCACCTAGGGGGGCCACGCTGCCTTACCCGTCGCAGACCTCGACTCTTATCCAGAAAGTGGATGTTGGTGATTCCACTGTGAATTGTGATCTTGATTGCTGCGGGTATAGCAGTAGAAGATCCAACAAATGTTTGCCATTTCGATGACCAACTAATGTGGTTGATTGATGAGAGAAGGTATCAGATAGGTAAAGATAGGGAGTAGTTAAGTAGAGTCGATAGTTAGCGAGGTCAGCATTAGTATTTTCCCGCCTGCAATTGCTTGATGCTGGCTGGTTGTTTTCGTTGGCTGGCTGGCTGGCTAAAGAGGGGGGGAAAGCCCATACTTAGTGGTGAATGAAAAGGGACGGTCTTAATTACCAGATGCGTACAGTATTTATCGTGTCCACCAGGCCGCGACTCCCGACTAAATGGGTAAATTACCGTCTGGAACCCGGAAACCGCTTGCGCCTCCTTGGACTTGGCGGAAGTTCCAAAGCCATCCCCATCCCCAAATAATCCTGTCGAGCCTTCATTTCAATTCGGTTTGCCTCCCGCTGCTCTCGGCCTTCTCCTCCTCCTCCTCCCCTCCCCCCCCTCCTCCCTCCTCTTCTTCCTTTCCCCAGCCTCAGTTCAAACCCGCCATCTAGATTCATGATCCCGTCTACTGGTTCCGTGTTTTCGGCCTCATTGCTGCGGACCACTGTCCTTCGCGTTCCTGTCAACCTTCTCCCCGCCCAACTCTATCTCGCCGACTGAGAGGGAAAAGTTCGCGAAAAAGGAGGCTCTCCTCCGGCCGCTCTTTTTTTCTCATTTCGTTTCGCTTCGCCAGACCCGGGCATCCGACCTCTTTTCTCGCTATATTTATTCTAATTGTCTTTCGGGTTCTTGTCAAATTTTGTCAAAGACGCTGGCGGACGAACGCTACACACCTGGCTCCCCTAATCACCTCCCACATCACTTCTCGCGTGTGCGGGCGCTTGCTTTCTATCACCGAACCCCACGATTACAAATTGAAAAGCGGTTCTGGCTTTGAGAATCGTTGCTGCTGAGTGCATCGGGCCTCGATAACGTTGCCCTCGACTGGTTTCTTTGGGTCTCCCGCCTATACACCTGGTACCAATGGGCCTCGTTCAGCGGGTCACAAAATGGTTGCCCTCCACGCCGAGTCTGCCCCTAGATGACTCTTCGCGCGAAAAGGGCCGCAACCTCTCCAGATTCGCCTTCTTCAGACGGAGAATTCGGCTAAAGGGCAATTCCTCGATCTCAATACCCCTGGGATTTGTTTTATTATTTCCATGTCTTGTAATAGTTCTTATCCTACTCCTTTTTGTTCGACATCCTTCGTCTCCTGGGGGTATCCTGATTCCCGCGGGCACTCCGCCTTCGATCAGGTGGGTTCTGGAAATGGCTCTTCTCTGTCTACTGTCTTTGCTAACCGCACGATCACCGCAGAAAAATCAGTGAGAAGTATGATAAGGTCTTTGCTACCGGCTGCCTTCCCGTAGAAGAGCAGGACTCCCCTCGCGCAAACGCCGCTTTTGTCGTCCTCGCCAGAAACAAGGAACTAGATGGAGTTGTACAATCTCTCAAGTCGATTGAGAGACACTTCAACCGCTGGTTCCACTATCCTTATGTGTTCCTGAACGATGGCGACTTCGACGATGATTTCAAGGCCACCGTCAAGAACTATACGAGCGCCCCTGTGGAATTCGGAAAGATCGATGACTCTATGTGGGGATACCCCGACTGGGTCGACCACGAGGTTGCCAAAGAAGGTGTCAGGAAACAGGGTGACGCTGCCATCATGTACGGTGGAATGGAGAGTTACCACCACATGTGCCGCTTCTACTCCGGGTGAGTCTCGCTTCTTTCTCCAAGGTCCTTTCTTATACTAACTCGGGTTGTGCGTATAGACATTTCTACAAGCACCCCCTTCTCATGAAGTACGAGTGGTACTGGCGTCTTGAGCCCGAGATTAAGTACTTCTGTGACATCACCTAGTAAGACGACCGCCTGATAGATCGCATTTGATGGAATGCTAATGTCGACCTCAGTGACCCCTTCGTCAAAATGGCCGAAAACAACAAAACGTATGGCTTCACTATCGCCGTCAAAGAGCTTCGCGAGACCGTCCCGAACATTTTCCGCTATGCTTCCGCCTACAAACGCAAGAACAACATGGACTCGAAAGGTCTCTGGGAGATGTTCCTCGAGAAACCGGAGGAAGAAGAACAGAAGCCAGAGGAAGTCAAGCAAGAAAAGCTTCCTGAGGAGATTCTTTTGAACGAACCCGGCGAAAACACTGTCCCCGACATTGATCCTGAAGCCATGGAAGGTGAAAAGTACAATATGTGCCATTTCTGGAGTAACTTCGAGATTGCGCGCCTGGACTTCTTCCGTAGCAAGGAATATGAGGAATTCTTCGACATGATGGACAAGAGTGGTGGTTTCTGGATGGAGAGAGTATGTGCCGTTCCACTTTCGTCTTCCCGTTCTTGGCTAACTGATTTTCCAGTGGGGTGATGCGCCGATCCATTCGCTGGCCGCCGGTATCCTCTTGGGCCCTGGCGACATCCATTACTTTCGTGACTTTGGCTACCGCCACACCACCATCCAGCACTGTCCTGCGAATGCCCCCGCCCGTCAACTTCCCCGAATTCCTTACCTGGAGATGACGACCGATGACGAAAAGGCGCGCTTCGAGGAGGACGACTACTGGGCCAACCCGGACCCCGTCAAGGAGAATGGCGTCGGCTGCCGCTGCAGGTGCGACACCGACATTGTGGATGTCGAGGGCAAGCAGGGCAGTTGTCTCGCTGAATGGGTAGACGTTGCTGGAGGGTGGGCATCTCCTTAGACTCTGATTCTTGCCCCTTAATGTTCGCTGTATAATCTTCGCCTCCTCGTTTTCGTACCTACTTGTTCGACTATGAGCATTATTCGGGTCGCCCTTGGAGTTATTTGCTTGAGAGCCTGCATGTTACGTTGGCTGTGGGTTTCTGGACGGCGTTGCACGGATCTGACGGCTTCTTTCCATGGAAGACGGTGTGACCATTCTCATCAATCTTGACAAATTCATCTAGCGTGATTCGTATACTTCCATTTCGTTGGGATTGCCGCGTTCGCTATAAAGAGACCCGAATGTCACTGACGGTCTCGTTATGAAATGTCAGAAGAAGCCCTCGGTGAAGACTCGCTGGCCAGGATGCTATCCACTCCGTTGCTGCACGGCGGACTTCTGCTGAAGCTTCTCTCATACGGTGAGCGCAAGGCTCCTCGAACGCTGGCGAGAACCCACTGCGCGCTTTCCCGTGGGCCTTATGACATGACCACTTGCTTGATGTTCGTCGATGGGCTGTCCTTTCCCACCATGTCTATTGGGGAACCCAGGATGGCAGAGGTGAGCAACCACCCAAGCTGGTCTTGAGGCGCTTCGAGGGCGAGTGAGACCGGGTGCATCAGCACTGATATGGCAGACAGATTGCCATGGATCCATGTGGCCTTTTGAGGGTCACCACCTAATAATAAATACCCTGTCGATGTCTCTTGTCTTATTCCCTTGTTCCTTTCTTTCCTGCTTTCTGTCCCGATGCTATTCAGGAAATATTCTGGTTGTCCGATTTGTTCTCCCCTTTCCCCTTCCATCATCCTTTCCCCTTGACTCTTCTCAATTCACTCATGTCATGAAATGTACATACCTCATAGTCACTTATAACATCCAGTGGATCATACCATTCTAATCATGACTCCGGTAGTAGTTGTTTGCAGATTAGTAATAAGGAGCTGTGCTGGCTGTCGGACGGAGATCTACAAAACTACCCTTTTGGGACTAGTCACCTGATAACGCATGGCTTATCAGCAGCGCAGGCAGTTTTGCTCTCGTTCCGGGCAGTTCCTACCCTCGGAGCTGACACGGAGTATACGATGGAATTGATCCAGACAACCCGAACGAACAACACATGATGAGGTAACCAACTGTTCGGTTGGTTGAATATTCCCAGGCTGACGAGTAGTACGTCCTCCTATTAACTAGGTAGCGAGGGGATTGCTCCGCATGACCGACCCTTCATGTCTTACTACCGCGTTATCCTTGTCATGTGCCCCGCGCATGATAGCTTGCCATCAGCCTGCCTGCCTGCCACTGCCACTGCCACTAGTTAACTTATCATTCATCACTCTATCACTCTATCACTCTATCGCCCCTACTCTCGTATCAGCCGGTCGACCCCTCATCACTCTTCCTTCTTCAACTCCCCCCTCCCCTCCGAATCCCATCTGGTACACCTTGACTGCCGTAAACCTCTTTCCGAGTTGGCAAATCTTCTGCCTACTTTTGTCTCGCAGAGTGAGAATCACTGTTTCATATTGGGATCTCTTATTTATCCAGTCAAATGCCCATTCACATCTAGTTAGTCCTTAGGCACCCAAGCCGCTCTTTCTCCGCCCGGACCCTCGGGAACAGCACCCCAGTATCCACCACTTACTACTACTTACTTGCCCCCCCCCCCCTTCCCCACGCAAACGCAACGCAACGCAACGCATCGTCGGGTCTAATTGTTCGTCGGGCATCTGCCTATCAGGCTGAGGGATCTCGAGGAAGCTCTTCGGAACAAACTGCCCTCATAGTAGTTTCTGACCGCTAGAGCTCCTCTCGTGAAGTTAACGTATTTACTCCGCTGACTGTTTGTTGTACTTATTCTTGGGCTTACCCGTTGTCCATTGTACTCGACCGCAAAAAAGCTTCCGCTCTGCAACTTACCTAACACACTACCTCATTTTCCTGCACCTGTCTCTATGACAAAATCACACTAGCATCATGACTGACCCTCCGGAGCCTTCTTCCAGACGTTGCCAGAACGACTCGGCCGCTGCTCCACCTCTGCAGTACCCCACGTTCCCTCCCTTGAGTGCTTCTGTCGAAGAGTGGCTATCTCGATCGAGGCCTATCAACATGACGTCAAATCTGCCAACCACAGACCAGACCTCACGGTCACTGAGTGAGAGCTGGGCCACGATGAGCGTCTCCGATATATATTCTGAGGATGGTACCCGCTCGGAACAGACAGATATGGGGTCTCTGATCGATCAGACTGGTCCTGACGATGTGGCCAGCCTTGACGAGACCTCAAGCAACAGTGAAATCGATGCCAGTGATGATGACGGATACTACGGTGAGAATTATGAGTCGACGAGCAATGTGTCGGCCACGCAAGAACTGTCTTCTGGTTTCCCTTTTCTCGGGACCTCGATCGATGACAGTAGCCTCACCACCCAGACTGCTTTCCGCCAGTCGACCGAGTCCATCGAGTTTGCTGAACCTGAGAGCTGGCCCGAAACCGAACGCGTAGAATTGAAACACACCATTCGGGTGTTTGAAGGTCTCGAGGCAGCAGCATTGAAACAGAAACTCTCTAACGCAACCCAAGACTCAACGCTTACAGCTACAGTGCAACAAACCATGACGAGAAGATCCTTGGACACAGACAAGCCATTCCGCGTGCTTTACATTGGCAGCCCGGACTTTCGAAATCTCATTCTGGATAAAATTGGAGATGTCCTGGTGGCAAGCTCTCCCTGTAGCAGTTACGAAAGCAGTTCCACCGAGTCCTCCAGGTATCATGTGGTCCCAACATCCTTTGGTGCCGGGGCGATCCCTAATTTCGCCGAGCTCCTGCCCATTCATGTCCAACTTATCGTGGACGAATGTCTCGACGCCTCTGCAGACAGCCAGACTGACAAGCCCAGCACGATCACCTTGAGTCTCAAGAACCAACCTCCATATACGTCGAAGTGGGTGGGTGCCGACTATTGCATTTCTTCTCCTGTGGAGTGGACCTTGCCCGATGTAGCCATCATTTTCCTAGCAACCACCGACAGCAACAAGGACACGGAGACCCAGAGGCTGGCTCGCATCTTTTTGGAAAGACACGGCGTGCCCACAATGGAAATCTCAGAGCGCCCGCTGTGGACAATGTCGAGGGATCCTGTTCCCGTGAACCGCCACAGTCTTCACATGTGCCTGGAATCGCGTGATCCAGTCACTGGAACATCTACACTTGTGAACAGGTATCCGATTGACATCAAGACGTTTGAGAGCATTGCGCCCAGACAGCTCAATAGAAACCTGGCTTCTCTGGCAACTATATATCCGCGGAAAGTTTATCAGGTTCCCCCCGAGTGTCCAAACGAGCCTCTAGTGAAACGAGCTCTGAACGCCGTGGAGCACACATGGAAAGTGACCCCCATCCCCTTCAGCAATGGATATCACAAATTGGCGTTCTTACTTCGCTTGACTGTCCTGTTTGCTGCCGCCGTATTGACTATAACTTTTGGCCATTTTGCTCTCCGGGCACTTATCTTGTTTCTTACCCAGTATTTCGCACACTCTGGAGTCTCCAGCGCAGTCACAACTCATTCTCAAAATATACCAACGGCCAGCGGGTTCGGTCCGGATGGATTGTTAACCGTGGTGCCGTCGAATATAGCTGATGTTCAAGCCCAGAGAGCTCAAGCTCATGGCCGCTCTTCGTTGGAAGATTTTATGGACGGAATTCTCTCTCCGAATCCGCCAAGTGAGGGGCCCAGCGAATTTGAGTTTCAGGTGGTTGGCGATTGTCATCTTGCCATCAAACCACCACATAAATCTTTCATTGGCAGGAAGGGTCCACGATTTAGTGTCCAGGTAAAACGAGATGGCAAGCCCCTGGATTACGAACTTTCGACCTTGTTCGAAGGAGTATACACCTTGAAACTAGAGCGAGCCGATGCCTATGGGCTGGTGGATGTTATAATCACCTCAAACACCAGACCACCTTTCACACAGACCACTTCTGTGGACTTTGGTACACCATGGCTGAAGATTCAGAACTGGAAACGAGCCGCCCATGCCATTTCGTCACAGTTTTTGAAGGAATTTGGCAGCGCGCAAACGGGCCTGTCAGAGGCATACGAACGTATCTGTACCGACCTCCAGGTGCTCATGGGTGACGTCGTCAAGAAAGCCCATTTTCTGCGACGAGAGGCGTTCGCGCTACATGACTCGGTGCAACTCTCCCATGATACCAAAGAACTGGTCCTCTCGAAGTCGGCGCAGCTTACTCAAGTTGTCAAACGTACTGCTGTGCAACCTCTCTTAGCCGCCTCAGCCGCATTCCAAGGTCACACTGAAAGAGTCAATAGGGGAGCCAGGGAAGTTATGAGTGGCACATGGAACAGGATAAGTGCTTCTGCTCAGGTGCTTGATCTAACGAGCATGAAGACGCATATCCGCAACGCAAGGAAGTGCCAGACTTTGAATAAGGCGCAGCAGAGGGCCAGGAGCCTCATGAAACGGAAGACTTGCCGGCAGACTAGATGTGCTAAATAAGGAGGTCGAACAGCTGGACTGGACTCTGGGAGCTGGAATCTGCTTTTTGTAGGTAGTACACTAGCTACAATTCTCTCGTTCTATTCTTCGTTGGCTTTTGGGTTGCTCGGTTTGGGACGTTCTCGGCGCATGGTCACGTATTGAGGATTGTTTGACGCGTGGATCTGGATCCTGGGAATACTGGCAGGCAAATGTATCCGGGCATTATCTAGTTGATATTAATACTGATCAGATATTGACATTGACACTCGTTGACATTGAGATTGAACATTAAAGCATTAAGTGAGTGTGAATGGGCAACTGTGGACCAAGAGCCATAATGGTTGCAGTACTGTTCAGTACTACACAGTGGACTCACCCCGCGGTCCCTTTTTCTTTTTCAGGCGCGGGGCAGGCAGTACTAGGTAAGGTGGCGCTAGGTGCCTAAGGCTCTGAGGCAAGAAAGGTAGCAAGCCAACCTTCGAACCCACCTTCTTTGGCCGACCAAAAACATTGAATCCCGTCCATATTTTCCCACCCCCTCTTCAAACTAATAACTTCATCCTCCCATACAATCTTTATTTTCCCCTCTATTCTCAGGTATACTTCCACCTGCATTCTTATCTCAAAAGCTTGACCCGCTCACTTTCTTCCGCAGAACTCTATCCATCCATCCACCACCATGTCTGACGTCGCTGAGACCAAGCCCGACCCCACCACCAGCGCTCCTGAGGCCGCTGAGAAGCCCGAGACCACCACCACCGAGGCCGTGGCTGAGGAGGCCAAGGCTGCTGCTGAGTCTGCCGCTGAGACCGTCAAGGAGACTGCCACCAAGACCACCGACAGCGTTTTCTCCATGTTCGGCGGAGGTCCCAAGAAGGAGAAGGTCGAGGCTGAGGATGACAAGGACGAGCCTTCTGGCTCTTCCAAGGCCCAGAAGGCTGAGGAGGAGGTGAGTCAATACAAAAGTTTTTTTTTTTTGGTGGTTTTGGGAAGAATCACTCGTTGGCTGGACTTGCGGGTTATTGTTCAGACATACCCCGCTTTCGCCCCTCCATGGCGGAGAGCTTCTGTGTCCAAATCTTTGTTTTGTCTCTTCTGATTTCTATCGCGCGGGGAACCAGTTTGACTCGATCGTGAGATAAAGCCTTTGACTAACTAGTCGCTTGCCTCAACAGGACGAAGCCCCCGAGTCCCCCGATGTCCACTTCGAGCCTGTCATCCGCCTGACGGAGAAGGTCGAGACCAAGACCAACGAGGAGCTGGAGGAGCAGACTTTCAAGATGCGTGCTAAGCTGTTCCGCTTCGACCGTGAGAGCAAGGAGTGGAAGGAGCGTGGCACTGGTGACGTGAGACTGCTCAAGCACAAGGAGAACCAGAAGACCCGCCTTGTGATGCGCCGCGACAAGACCCTCAAGGTCTGCGCTAACCACTACAGTGAGTTTTCGCCTCGAGACTGGAGCGGAGGGTCTCCATACACGTTCCAGGTGACTGATGCTTTGCTCTAGTTGTTCCCGACATGACGCTTAGCGCCAACGTTGGCAGTGACCGCAGCTGGGTCTGGAACGCTGCCGCCGATGTCAGTGAGGGCGAGCCTGAGGCTTGCACCCTGGCCATCCGTTTTGCCAACAGCGAGAGTAAGTCCTGTTCCCCTTCTGAGTGTCCCGGAAACGGTATGACTAACGCATGGTCCCAGACGCCAACCTGTTCAAGGAGGCTTTCGAGACGGCACAGAAGGAGAACGAGAAGCTCCTCAGCCAGCAGTAAATGCGGGGAATTCCAGCAGCTTCGAATCTTCCCCCTCCCAGCGGCAAAGTGATATAGAGGGCTATCTTTAATGCACATTTCGATCTCTCCTTTGCACTACGAATTTGATGTGGACTTCTTTTTCGTCATTTACCTCTCTCATGCCCCGCACATGCGGATTCACTTTCCCATAATCCCCATCGACCCTTATTTCTATCTCGTACCTTCTTCCCTTTTCCCCCTTTCCTTGACACGATCTGTATTCCTCCGTCTGTGAGGAGACAGAATGATGAGGCCGGCTCTGCCGAGCTTCGGAGTCGATGCATGTACAGACAGATTCGACGTGGTTTGACCCCGAGGTTGAAAGTATGTCCTCTGGCGAGTCGGCAGTAGATAGACACCATTTCCCCCAAAATACACGTATGACATTATGAAGTAGAAACGCTGGTGTTTTGGTGTATTGGATGACTTTGTTTTCCTGATTTAGGGTGTAGGCAGGGTGTGAGATTAAATGGATCTCTGAGTGTGGGGTACTGCAGTGAACAGCCCACGAAATTGCAGATAAGATGGAATAAAGTGCGAAGAAGATGATGACGACTTTTTCCGGTCTGATGGGGGAGTCGCGATGCGGGAAAGTGCAGTGCAGAGAGTCCAGTAACAGTAACTGAAAGGTTAGTAGGTTAGTAGGTTGGTACTCGAACAGTGAGCAGTAAGTAATCAGTCAATCAGTCAATCAGTCAATCCCCGCGCGGAAAGCTTCCCTCCCACCCAGCTTTCTCTTGCTACCACTTGTGCCTTTATCACCTTAGCACCTTAGCACCTTAGCCTACAGTATCTCGTCACTTAACTTCAATTGAGAGTCAATCTCAGTTAAATTTGCAGTAACCCTGAGGAGTAAGAAAGCGAAAGCGAAAGCGACAGACATTGCAGCCTCGATCAGATCCCATCCCGGCAAACACCCGACCTCAACTCCGCCTTGATTCGTCGCGCCTGCTTGAGCCCGATTGCTCTCCGTCTACTTCCTCCCAAAACAACCAGTCTGCCACCCACCCCCAGAGGAAGGGATTCAGCCAAGCTCGCCATTCACTCAATCCCTAATTCCCTATCTCTCCGCGCAATCAACTGAAGCCTATTCACAACGATGCCCGACGTGAGTCCGCCGCCTCTTCCGTTCCTGAGCATTGCGAGCGAGCGAGCCATTGCTCGCTCTACTCGTGACGCGCGGACTGGACCCCGGACAAGACATTAATTGCAGCGCGCTGACCCAGCTCCTCTTCTTATAGGTCAAGAGAAATGTCCGTCTGGTGACGGAGCAACATATCCTGTACGTTCCTACACCTTGGCCTCTGTCTGGTCTTTACCTGAGCTTAGCTCGGAGTCATCATCACCACCACCACCATTCAACCATCCTCTTCAGCTCCCCGTCACATCGCAGCCACCTTAACATCTCCCAAACCGTGATTACCACGTTACATATCCGAGCAAGAACGCGCTCGCGCTTCCGCTGTCTTCCTTTAGTCTCATTAAAGGACAATATGTGAGGGAGCTAGTGAAAGTGCTCGAAGGGCTAACCAGACTGTTTCGCGCCCGCGCGCCCCCAACAGAAACAAAGACTCCGGCGTCGAGGGATTCCCTCTACGGTCATGGTCAATTGAAATCTACCTGGTCAACGACCACGGCGAGCAGGTCCCCGCAAACGTCTTCGACAAGGTGACGTACACACTGCACCCGAGTTTCGGCCCGCGGGCTGTTCAGAGTACGTCCTTTGCTTTTTCACTTTTCTCTTAAGGGGAGTTTGTATTTTCCGAACTGGTTGGGTTTCTTTCTCGTCTCATGATTCCCTCATTCACCTGGTTTCCCGCGTCTGCACTTCTGTGTCTGTATGTGCATCATGGAGGAGGGGGTGTTTTTTTCTTACCCTTAGCGGCGTCTGCAATTATTGGGGCGGGGGTTTCCTACTCCTAGCGGCCTCTGAAAATCATAGGGAGAGGGAAGTGTTGGGGGCAGAAAGAACCACCCAACATAGAATTACTGCAAAACGAGTTTGTGGTCCCATGGACTGGCTGACACGCGTTTTGTTTCGGGATGATAGCTTTTAAGAATCCTCCGTTCAGAATCTCCGAGGAAGGATGGGGTGAATTCGACATGCAGATCGGCCTGACTGCCGCCGACAAGGAGCATTTCGTCACCCATGACCTCAACTTCGCGCAGGCGCGCTACGAATCCAAGCACGTTATTGTGAGTGAATCCTGGGTTGCTCTTCAGGATGGAGATTGGAAGACTGACCTGGGTTGTCCCGAAACAGACCTTCAAGAACCCCAAGCCTGCGCTGCTAGCGCTACTGCGTGAATCCGGCCCCGTTCCTGGCGACGAGAACGGAGTCAAGTCGAAACGCGCCGCGGGAGGCGAGGAGGGGTCGAAGAAGAAAAAGAAGACGGAGAAGAATGTAATTTTCCCTCGTTCGATTTGGTCCCATCTTGCTGGCTTTTGTTGTGATCACTCGACTAATTTGTGTTAATATAGGTCGACATGGACAAGCTGGCCGATGGCCTCCAGCGTCTTGGCGAAGACGATCTTCTCCAAGTGGTGCAGATGGTCCATGACAACAAGGCTCCAGACTCATATACCAAGAACGATGTTGAGCGTGAGTTTCCCTTGCTCACCTTTCTTGTGATTTCCTCAGACCGGCAACTAACCCCAACCTGATGGATTTATCATCGACAGAGGGTGAATTCCACGTTGATCTCTATACCTTACCCGACAACCTAATCAAGATGCTCTGGGATTTCACGCAGGAAAAAGGTGCTTTGTGATTTTGTTTTTTTTGTCGGGCTCTCTCTCTTTTCTTCCATCTTCCTTGTCTCTCTTCCGACTACCATTTTATTTTATTTTCCCCTCTCTCTCGTCCGAATTCTTCGTGATAAAACAAAACTTAATCATACCACTTTTCTGCGTTGTTTGATCCCGTGCAACTTTCGGTCTTGTCTCTGGACCTCTGGACAAACCCACATATGTGTCTGCATGGCTTGGCTTCTCCCTTTCTTGCGAAAGTGGGTGGGCTGTTAGGAGTCGTTGCATTGAAGCTTTGTTTTGCTTTTTTCGGCGAGAATACAAAATCTTTCTGCCTCTCTGCTGGGGTTTAGGGTCGGTAAGAATACATACACTTTGTCTGTGATGGGATGGGGAGGCTCTGGGTTGGTTCTGTGATTGCTGGATGATTGTGACAGGGTCGGTATGGGATATGGGATTTGGGATGATAGGATGCCATTCCTTCACAAGATGGTCATACTTATGATGTACGGTAGGCTACGTGATTCGGGCAACTGGCTAGTGCTTGTACTTCATCTTCCTTACCTAGGTATAATCGGAGGTCTGGACTGTATCGGAATCTTTAGGGGATTGCGCAGCAGGTATAGATAGATCGCCGGAGTAGTCTGGAATCACGACTCCACTCCACTACAAATACCATGTATAACCACTACACTACACAACTTGTACAGACAATGGAAAGCCCGTCAAACTTGATCTGGATATGATGACGATGATGACGATGATGATCGGTGATTAGAATAAAGTTAATAATAATACATAACCAGAGCCAGAGCCAGAGCCAGAGCCATAGCCCTGAGATTCGACTAAGCGAAGGACACAACTACCAAACCAAAGATGATGACGCAGACATCCCAAGAGAAAGGAAACTCATATCGTGACGAGAAAAAAACCATGGAGGATATCTTCAAGCTCTGGATAAAATCAAATCAAGACAAGCAGTAAAGTAACCCTGACAACACCATGACGAATTCTATATGCGAGCCCGAATTTGAAATTTGTAACATGAAACGAAAAAGGAGTAAAACGCCCGCTGTGGTGCATTGCAATGCTTGGATTGAGGATGGTGATGTGGTGTGACGTGGTGTGGTGTGACGTGGTGTGGTGTGGTGTGGTGAACGGAGGTGGGTGTGTCGAGTTTAAATTGAGATGGAGATTGAATGGGAGAGGACATGTGCAGCGTAGCGTGAACGTGGATCGGGATTGATCGTCAGATTGAGATTAGTGGTGTTGCTTTAGAGGATGCGGTGCCTGTCCATGTTGATTGTGATTAGTATCGAATATTCTCGGAGATGGGTAAGGCGGGAAGACAACGTACATCTTCAACAAGTCCTCCAGACTGTCGGCACTCAGACTCCGCCCCTTGGGAATCTGGCGCATGATCTCGACAATCGTGGCGAAGACATCCCCGTCGCGGTACGCCAGCAACGCCGGGGCCTCGATGTTATCCATCTCCGCGATTTCGTGGTGCAGCTTGATGAAGTGAACGGTGGGTTGGCGGCGAGCGATGGTGTTCAGGCAGTCTTCGACCAGGGCACTGGGAGTGGACTTCCCAGAAAGTTAGTTTCGGCCACTACAACCAATAATCAGAGAAACATACCTCCGGATCATACAGACAGACGACCACCACCGTCCCCGAAGTGACCTTCTCAATGGCATCCAGATACCCAACGGCATCCACGTGGTCGACGGACCCATACAACCGGCGGCGAGGACTGGGCTTGCGGAGCGTACGGGCCTGCATCTCCTGCATGCGCGAGGTGCGCCACTGGCGCAGAAACCGCTCCTCGTCATCGCTGCCCGAGGACCCGTCAGGCGGGGAGGAGTTGTGCAGCAGCGTGGCGTCGTCCGTGGTGGACTTCATCGAGTAGTGGGGTCGGTCAATGCCGGCGACGCTCAGCAGGGTGCGGCGGAAGGAGGATTTGCGGGCACGCTCGAAGGCCTGGGCGTCGGCGATGACACCCTTGGGGCCTGTGTTGGCATCGAAGGTGGCATTGGGGATCTTGTAGGTACTGGTGTTACGGGAGTGCATGGCAGAGGATCTGTGGAGGTCGTCGTCGTCGTCGTCTGCGTCGGAGAAGTGAGGGCGGTTGTGGTCTTCGTGATCGTTATCGTCGGAGGAGTGATCGGAGTCGTCTCGATCGGAGTGATTGTCTCGGTCTTCAGGGTGAGTCGAGAACCGGTCTCGATTGTTCTGGAGGAGTTGATTGAATTCTTCTTGGGCGGCGGATGACATCTTGAAAAAGAAGAAAAGAGGAAAAAAGGGACCAAATGTCGGGAGGGTATGCCGGGTGTTTTAAAGGGAATGGGTCGTTGACCAGAGGAGTGAAACGATGATATTCTTAGAATGGGGGGGGAGGACGACTTGGGCTGTGCCTGGATCTGCGTTGTCGTTCCGGGACGGGTTGGAATGGGCTAGATCAAATTCCCACTTTGGATGTTTTTTTCCCTGTGTTTTGAAATTGTGTTTTAAACTTCTGGGATGTTGTCCTCTTTCTTTCCGTGGGTTCGTGTGTTGTCGAAGGGGTGTGCTCTGGGCGAATGGGAGAAGCGGAAGAGAGCCGAGAGAGGAGTGAAGCCGAATTCGTAACCAACACGCAAGTGGTCAAAGGTCACGTCCCATAGGGCAATTGGGGGGGGGGGGTACGTTTCAGATGGTTTAACTTTCTGGAGGAGGGGCTGATGATGATGGTGGTGATGATGATATAGTTATGGATCTTGTCTCCTGGTCTGGGTAAAGAAAGGGAGTAATAGGATTAAGTTAGAGTATGAGGAGGAGGAGGGGGGGGGGAATCGGGGCGAAAGGAGGATGGAGAAAGAGGGGGTGGGAAAGAGAAAGAGATGAGGGAGAGATGGAGTGGCCGCAGCCAGTGGCGGGAAGACGGGAAAAAAAAAAAGAGAAAGGCTCTGGGCTGGGCTCTGGATGAAACACGGTCCAGGGGGCGTAGTGTGTTTCAGGGCAGAAGATCAGCCGCAGCAGAAGAAGAAGAAGAACCTTCCATGCCTTCCTTCTCCTCCAGGATTGTCTTCCTTCCGCCCTCCTCCCCCCCCCCTACATTCATTAATTTATTTTATTTATTTCACTACATAAATCCATAAACACATAAACTATCACCCTCATACATACCTCATGGTTCGTCCACTTCGAAACACAATCCACCAAGCTTCAGGGTCTGTTTGGAAGAGATGAACCCGTCCCCAGCTTTTCCAGCCGGTTGGAATCCAACGGTTTGTGTATTCGATCAACTCCAACTCAGCCCTTTACGGACCCCCGATCCACCCAACTACATCATCAGGTGTTTCACACATCGGGGAAAACTCTGTTTGCCGAGTGCAAATGACCAAGTATAGCAACATCGCAAACCACTCATATTCCTCATGCAGTAAGTGGTCAGCAGTAAGCAAAGTACACATAGAAGCACAGTAACTTTTCCGACTAACAGGATCAAAAGTACGGAGTACCGTACAGTACATAAAGATCTGACACGTCCAATTTAAGGTTGCATGTTGCATGCAGTCCTCCGTAGGTACAGGGCAGGACATATCAAACCTGCATACTCCGTAGTTCGAGGCGCATACTTTTCCCACTGCAGATGGGCGCAGCACCGAGCCCTGAGCCCTGAGCACAGCATCCCATCCCATCCCATCCCACCTTCCATCCAATCTAGCATCTGACCTGACCTCATACATGAAGGGAATTAAAACTAAGTCCCCTTGAACAACCCAAAAAAAAAACAAAAAGAAAAGGAAATCAACAACAACGATCTTCAAACACGAACACAAAACACAACCACTCGAATAACAAACTACATACCAAACAAACGATGGGGCAAACCCCCCCCCCCCTCCACTTGAGTCAAGCTTCGGTTCATCCCCCCGCGGTAAAACCGTTCCAGATTTCCATCTAACCCCCGATCCATGGATAAGGTGTGGCTCCTCCTGCTTTCCCTTCTTCCCCATCAATTCGGGCAAGATCCATACATAGATTGCCCGATTCCCCCCCCCCCCCTTCCCAGATACCTATGCAGGTAGTTCATCCGAATCCGGAGAATTCCGATCTCATGATCCCTGCTGCGAGGAGACCACTACAGTGGAGAGCCGAACTCCGAGCGTTTGAATCCGGAGTCGGAACCGATCTTCCCAATGATCTCGAACTCCTCATTTGCGTTTCTGTTTGTTGCCCGGCCTCATGATCCACTCAGTGGGAACCGGTTTAGAGGGTCGACTCGAAAGATGTCTCCATTTGGGGCAGCGCGATGTAAGCTGCGCCTGAGATGGGATGATATCACTCCGTTTGGAAGTACTCGTACTACTGGGGTCCACGGTGGATGGGCTGTATACAAATGACTGCAAAACGAAGCTGATCACAAAACATATCTGTCTGTCTTCGTGTTGCACCGGTGACGCCATCATCGACAGTCTTTCTCTTCTCTGCGTCTCTGCGTTACGTTGTTCCGCGTCACTCCGTCTTCAGCCTTTTCCATGGCTTTCGACCACGTCCAATGACCACGTCCGAGGGATTGGGTGGTTGGGTACAAAACATCTCCAGAAACTAGGGCCAATGATTTGTCATTTGTACGAGGAGTTAGTGGCTGCCTACCAGCTTGGTCTGGCTGTGCCTCACAAGAAACCGTACAGGAGTGCCGGCATCAAACCCTGCCATGGGGAAAAAAACATTTTTGAGATAGGCAAGACATATCAAAGCACAAGATTCTGGCGGCGGATTACATTCCATCCCATCCGCTCGGCGACACAAGACAAGAACCCGCTGGAAAACACTCAAACGTTCGGAAACTATGTAGGTTGATTAGTATAAGAAAAAGAAACACACAATTCGCAATCAATCAAAACCGTCATGGCCTATCCGGGAAAAAAAAAAAAGAAAGAAAAAAAGGTATCCCCTCCTTTTCCAGCCATCACCCAAGGCAAGGAGATCAATGCGTAAGAAAGGAAAAAGGGTTAAGAAGCACAGGGGAAATCGATGCGGAGAGACTGCACCAAGAATATTCGGAAGATCAAGGGTAAAGGACAAATGAAAACGTCACCAGGGTGGTTGGAACAAGGGGAATAAGACGGAGAAGGTGACGAGAAAAAGAATCAGAATGCCTGCAAATCAAATCTTGGTGATGGGCCATATTTGAGCCCATCGTCGCACTGAAGCGTAACAACCCCTCCAGAATCCCAATTATCAACAGCATTATTACAGTTCACCGCACCCGTATCCGAGTATTGTGGTTTTTCGTGGTTGTGTGTGTGTGTGTGTGTGTCTTGTCTGCCGTCCGGTTGTCCTCCTCACACACCTGCAGTAGTCAACGAGTGACGACAGCACCCATTGCGGTATGTCTGCCACCCTAACTGCCCATTGGTTTTCGCTTCTTGTAACTGCGCCTGCGATCCGACTAGTGCATTAAGCAGGCGCGGCACTAAATTGCTCCTCAGTGAATAAAAGATTATCGTACAGTGGCGGACATGGAACCTAGTGGCGCAGAAAAATGATTAAGGAAACTTCGAATGAGGACGTCACGAAAGACTTGAGACAGGGTATCTTTGCTGTTTTTTTTTGTTCGTTTTCTCGGATTACCAGGCCCACACCTTGAGCTACAGGATGAAATGTCTCAGTAACTTGTATCCCATCATTGGGGATCAACGGAATGACTTACCAAGGAATCCCAAGATCCGGTGCACAAGCTGATGCCATCGTTGCTGACTCCCAAGCAGCTCACACGGTTCTCGTGACCGCTCAAAGAACCAACCTTATCACCACGCAGAACATCCCAGACCTACCGGCCTCATTAATCAACCATTCGAGAGTGAATTCATCCTGGATGTAAGACGTACCTTGCACTCGAAATCATCGTAACCAGCGAATAGCAGTCTACCGGACACAGAAAATGCAACAGACGTGATACCGCACAATATTTGATCGCTCTGGATGTTGCGTTAGTGTCCGCTTCGGCCAGGGCAGAAATGAAAATGAAATACCTGGTAGGTGTTCAATTCCCGATCCGCACGGATATCGAACAGACGGCAGGAGGTATCGTCGGAGCCGGTTCCGAAGGCGTTTCCGTCGGGGAAGAATTGAATGGCGTTAATGTCGGACTCATGTCCAGCGAAGGTCTGAACGGCCTTTCCGGTACGGATATCCCAGAGCTTGGCGAAGGCGTCGCAGGCACCGGAAACAAAAATGTTCTGGTTGGTGGGGTTGATGCTGATCGACATGACGTCGCCCAGGTGGTCGGCGAATTCGGTCACCTTAGAACCCGACTCAATATCCCACAGCATACAAGTCATATCTCCCGAGGAAGTGATGATACGGCGATCGTTGATGAAGCGACAGCAAGAGAGATAACCCGAGTGTCCAGAGAGCTCACGCGCGACCCGAGTCGGCCCTTCACGCGAGGAGAGATTGTAAATGGAGCAAATGTTATCCAGACCACCGCAAGCAACGTAGTTTCCGCTGGGGGCGTAAGCGCAAGTCATCACCCATGATGACCGCAAGGGAATCGCATGGACCTTGTTCGTGGTGTAGGCATCCCAGATGATGAGCTTTCCGTCCTGTGAGGCGGAGACGAGGTGGCGGCGATCAGTCGACCAATGCATGGCGTAGATCTTAGCCAAGTGGCCCTTGAGCGTTCGACGGGGCTTCATTCCAATGCGAGGTAGAGTTTCGGTCTGGTTTTGCGCCACTTGGCGGACTGTTCCACGGAGGTTAGTATCCGAGAGGCATGGCATGGTACAGGTTGCGCCCTTCGCGAGCTTTCAGGTCACCCGATCAGGGACAGCGACATGTGTGAGGGAGAGGAATGCGTACGAGTGGTGTCTGCCAGCTCATCCTTTCTGCGCTTGATCTTGTCCTTGAGGCCCTCGGCTTCGCGCCGGGCCGCAGTGATCTTGGCCTGCATCTGTTCGCCGCTCATATCGGCTGCCATCTTGACCAAACAAGCCCCTGGAGAGGGTGGGTGTCAATGGAATGACGAAACGGGTCTAAAGAGTGGAATTGAGTTGGCCGAGGCGGGCGTCGGAAAATCCAGGGGACGGGTTGAGATGATCGAGGAAGGAGGGGAGGCGGGAGAGGGGAGAGGGGGAAGAGGCGCGAGCGATAAAGGGCGCTAGAAGAGAGAGAACGAGAGAAAAGATGGATTAGTGGAGTGGTGAGGTAGTCGGTGGTGGTAACAAGCAAGGTCGGTAGGAGGAGGGAAGAGGAGTAAGAGGAGGAGCAGGAGTGGAAGAGAGAGAGAGAGACGGAGAGAGTGGGTGAGAGAGAGAGAGAGGGAGGGAGAACGAGGAGGGGGGTTGATTGGGTGTGGAGCGAGCACACGGCGGAAGCGACCGAGCGAAAGAAAGTTTCGACCCGGGGCAATGGTGAGGTGGTTCGGGCGTTTAAGTCAGCAGGGGTGGTGGAAAAGAGAGATGATAGAAGAGAGGAAGAAAATGGCCCGAATGGTGATTAGGAATCAAAGGAGAAAGTGGAAGAGAGAAAGTGAAGAAAGTCGACTCTCTGTGTTGAAAGTGTGAGAGAAAAGGGGAACTGGAACCAGAGACAAGAGAGGGAAAGGCAAAGACGGAGAAGGATGCAGAAAATCCCACCCCCCCAAAAGCACAGATGACGGACAGTAACTTAAGTTAGTAGGTTAGTTAGTAGTAGTGAAGTAAGTTCAAGTTAGTGGCAGACGGTAGAAGCAACTCGGTCATGCCCTGTCTGTCATCAATAGCAGCCCGTGGTAAGAAAGAGCACCAATGATAAGAATGTATAGTAAGGGAACTATTGGGGTTGAGCTGGCCTGGACCAGATAGTTAGTTACTACTACTCTCTAACTACCACTGTGTCTACGGAATACAATTCTACATGTATGATGTATATGTATATGTATAGTCAAAAAAAAAAAAAGTAAGTAAAGATGTATGTCAATATACGTATTGGGTAAGAGATGATCCTTCCACCGGGGAAAAAAAAAGTGAGAACAATGGGGACTGTGTCCATCTTTCTGGTGATGCATAATAGAGAACCAGCCGGTTAGGGGAAGCTGGGCGACAATAGGTCCTGGAAGGACAGGCGGGACTCTAAGAGAGCCTCCTGCCTGCTGGTGAACTTTTCCGTCTAGCACTACCGTATGTACAGTATGTACAGTATGCGTACTGTACATACGATACTGATAGCTGATCTTAATCTTACGCAACCATACCACCCCGACATCCTGGGTTCGCAGGACACTCCATCATTGGACCAAAGCCCCGTAAAATGTTGTTTACGAGTCAATTAGGTCATCAGTCAGACACAGTTCGAGGCGTATGATACGGTCGCTTACGCGTAGGGTAATTGATTTCAGGCTTCCAGGGAGAACTCCCACATCCCAGTCTAGTCTAGGACGGTAACTTCTCCGCTGAGGGCAAGGTACCAAGTTCCGTGGAGGAGTTCATTGAACACTAAGGAGGTGCACCCTGGTCAGGCCGGTGGAGTCAAGCCTGCTGAGTCTCTTCTGGTTGGCCCATAGCTCACAACTGCTCGCCAAGTGGAGGATGTGCAGGACGCGAAAGCAAGCAGACGCGGAGACCAACAATGCAGTGCGGGATAGTGAAAGAAAGACAAGGAGACTAAGAAATGATGAAAGAGAAAAAGAGAGTTGAGCGTGTCCCTTGGAAGAAAGCATTGTGTTGGCAGGAATCGATTCTCCGGATCGCGAATGGCAAGGCGTCATGTTTGATCCCCTTCCAGTATTTAGTTAGTCGCCAGAACTTGTACAGAAGATGATGTCGATGGTAAGACAGCCTTAGGCTTGCCATAGACGCTAAAAAAGCCTCTGACTATCGTATTCCACGCCGTTTGTCCAGATACATACTGAACAGGCTCCTGTCTACATGACGATTCATAAACTCGCTGAAGGCAAATTGACGTGCGCAACCATTCTTCCACATTGCCGGTCAAATTAACCGCACTACGAGGCGAGGCAGATCCATCCATGCTTCGCACGAGTCAGGGTTTCCTGCTCCGACGAGTCTCTCGGAAGTGTGCAGTACAGTCCACATCAATACACAATGCACCTAGGTTGACGAGCCTCGGGAGTGGCGATCCCTTTCGTGCTCTGCTAAAGCATAATTCCGGAGCTGTCTCTTGATGGAAATAAGCATCCACATTCGAGAAGGACCACGTTGGGAAGTATCACCTGATGCCGAGAGTCGTGATCACTTCTCACATCCAGGGGCTTCGGACATTACGGGTGGTACCTGGCTCAGTGGTACCTACTGGTCACGTATCAATCATACCTACCGAGAATTCAGCGCGGTGAAATACCATTAGGGAAGTCCCTAGGACCGAACTAGTTTAGTCTGCTCGATTAGACTTTTCCATCTCTATATTATTATCTCTCTGCTTGTTCCAAATTTCTTCGAGTCCTTGACTAGATGACTAGACTATCCGAATCTCCGATGATGGATTGATTGTTCTTTGGAACCTGAGGATTAATCGAGTCCGTGGAAGACTCCCGGATTTAGAAACTGCAAGGGAAGATCCGAACTGAAAGTCAGATGCGGCCACGGATCTCAAGACTTTAAGATTGATGTTCCGTCACTTAGAGATCTTCATCATTTTCCGTCGAGGCTGGGGGGTCCCTGGACCCGAAGACTGGGGGGGGGAAGGGAGTAGGATGGCCCATCCTTGGTGCCTTCCGTGCAGGACGTTCTCCATCCCGGCTTTCCCGTGAATCCGAACGCTTGCGGATACTTCTGAACTTCTGATGTACGTATTATGTATACTGCACCTAATTTGTATTGTAGAGATGGCCATCATCCTTCAACAAGTCATAACAGTCTGCGATGTCTGTCTCTTCTTTTGATTTGATCCTTGGATTTCTAGAAGGTGGTTCACTCAACCTGAATCCCTCCCTAAATTCTCTGACCAACAACTCACTAGGGACTGTGGCTACTAAATTACGGACCAACTCTTGTCGTTGCGTCGAGCAAGGCTACTGGTTGTTTAATTTGAAGATTCCATGATGATAATATCCACATACGTCAAGATATTACAGAATCTGACTCCTCTTTTTTCAGAGTTGATCCTGAGTACTCTCAATTGATCCCCTCATTTGCTAGGATTTCGATTCGGTCATCCATGATCGCTGTTACGTGTCTTTCGTATCGTCTTGCTCACTGCCCAGATATCTGCCACCTCTTACATACGTCGGTTGGCAGGCAGAAATAATGGAGCGGGATCCGCGACACTGATGGTCAATGTGCATTGCGGCGGGTCACCAGGCCGCAGGGAAATTGGCCACTACCTGTTACGGTCAAATACTTCACAGGTGCGGGCTGGGTAAGAGCGTAACTGACAAACTGTTGTGGTTATTCGTTGTATTCATCGTCTATCTGGAGAAAGTGGCTCCACTGTTAGGATGATCGCTTGAAACCGTGCCTGACTAACTACCTAGTACTCGGCTGCCCCTCTTTGCCAAAAGGTCTTCATTTATCACGCTTACTAATGGGGTCGCCCCTGATGAGCTAACAAAACAACTACTCGGACGAGTAACTACACCTACGTTTTGCGACCTCTGAAGGACTTGAATTCTGCTTACGGGTGAATTGTCATCGGATTCTCTCTCGCCTGTTGTTAACAGTGTCCGGCTGATCATGTCAAATGTTCCGGATTTGACAGCTTCTTCCCAGCAAGTCGACAGGCAGGTGTGTCGCGGAGTTATCGGATATGCAATTATCTGTTGCAATCGCCCCCACTCTTGAATTCTGTACATTACAAACATTATAAGTCTATAGCACAGGAGACTAGCCACCAAGTCTTCAGCCTCTGGACTTTTGGGACGGTTTCCTTTTACATCAAGATGCATCGGCAGTGAGCCAACGAACGCATCCCTTCCCATTGGCAGGTCAAGGGATTCTGTCCGCTCGGATACCCAGGGATCAATTGGATAAATGCACGTCAGCCTCGGTAAGCCCCAAATATGAGGCACGATTGGCACGATTACAATGTCGGGTAGGGTGCATATCATTGAATCCGAGCTGCGGCTGTCGAGCCACATCTACCATTCGCATTGCCTAGACCAGGCTTCCTGCGGTGGAAGGATTCCAAGCCCTGCCGAGATTGGCAGCTCAGTATTGGCTCTAATACGATCATTTGCATCTCCCTGCTTGATGGATCTACACGCGATGGTGTCTGCGCTGCAACCTACAGGATGTGTGTCTGTGTGCAGAGCAGATGGCTACAGAATATCCGCGATCATCGACCATTTCTTCTGTCATAGCTTACGTCTGATCGCCCATCCCAGGGTTCCTGGTTTTGTGTGCTAGGCATATGTACATATACTGGAGTGTGTCGCTCCTTATCCGCACGCGGGCGATAACTTTCACCTACGTCAGTCGAGTTAGAGGACTGACTTGCCGCCTGCGCCCTCACGTTCTCGACACTTCCACGGAGAGTACACGATTACTTTCCGCCCAAGGATCTACTCGCACCATGAATAATAACCCTCGTGTCACTGAAGTCGAATCTGAGACCCCTCGTCTTGAAACATATGCATAGAGGCAAGAATATCCTTCCAGAAACGCCTCCGCGCTTAAATGTGCTATATATAGCCTGGAATGAAGCACATCTCGAAGGTGACATCAATCAAACTTGAAACGAGAAGCAAAGCCCTATTACAACTCAAGGTCGGGGTACAGGTATATGGATCAATTCAAACTCGATCAAGCGCGTAATGCAATGTGAGTGTATCTGGGAACCTCATTCCCCGACCGCGATGGCGGTTAAACCAAGCCAGGGTTTTTTTCTATTTGGGTCAAGGTGATCGGGTTTGACGGCAGCGGTTCGCGCCTCTAGAGGCAAAAGAAGGCAACGCCGCCGCCGCCGCCGCCAGCCCAACGGGATGACGGGAAGGGGAGGGGGAAGAAGGGCACGGAGTTTCTAATCATAGAACTACTAGGTACCTTGTTCACTACCTAGTGAGTGACTAGACTAGATTATAGATTCCAAGTACTTGTACATGAATACTTTTTTAACTTGTACTTTGTAGAACTATGAAGTCCGTGCGGGTTGGTTTGGCAGCTGATTGAGGGGTAACACTGGGATCACGGGCAGGATGACCCTTGTCCAGACACATCTTTAAGTCATGATAGGGTGGTTTAGATTGAGTGGTGTGCTAAGGACTGCACTGCACCTAGAGCCGATCCGATTTTGGTTGTTGTTGTTGGTGTTGTTGTTGATTTCGGCACGGTGAGGGTTTAACCTATTGGTACGGTACACCTGTGAATGGAGACCGAGCTCGGAGGAAGATGTCGTTTTGGGGGTGCTTTTCTATATGGATAGTAATCCAGGTTGAGGTGACAGGATGGGGATCGGGGTGGGCTGGAGATGCAGATCTAAATATAGCGTGCATGTGGGAGTTTATGCATAGTAGATGAGGGTCCTATCGCGGTTCAATGTCTATTCCATCATGGGAAAGAGGGAGAGGTATGAAGCATGTTGAGATCGGGTCGTCCGTCAGCGTCAAGGAGGAATAGATAGGGAGGTGGTGGTGGTGGTGAAACTCTGGAGCTGAAGAATGGTGGGCTCGGGGACTGAGAGAGAACCTATCCTATGCCTATGATCGGGAAAAGGCAGCGGATATGATATGTCCATGTCAATAGGTGTGAACATGTCTACTCCATATGCCTACGATCGGAGATCCATAGTTCTGTCTGCCTGTCTGGTAACCACTACCCTGATAGTTTAAAGTAAGTAAACTACCGGTAGGTCGACAAGTGATCTCCGGGTCCCCTTCCCATATCGAGGCTCAAGCCCCCTCTTCCCCTCTCCTTCCTTCTCCCCCTGATGTATACATACTCCGTAGACTACGACGGGGTCGTAGGGACCAAAATACCTGAATGTTGCTGAAAACCAGGGGGGCATATTTCGCAGTGCCGTGGGGATCACTACTGAAGATGAGAAAGCAGGGAACAAGAAGCGAGTCGAAGCGAGCCAGCATCATGATCAAACCACTATCTGAAAACTATTGCGCCCTGCTAGTCATCTTCCCATCCGAAGCAGTAGTCAAGTCCGATGGTGGGTGCGCCAGATGATCTTTGCTCCTAGATCTGCGGCGGACTCCGCTTGTTCAGGGAAATGAGGAGGACTCTTTGAACATTCCATCCTAATGCGTGGTCAGGAGGAAAGGGACGGCAGGGCGGGCAACCGGGGCAAGCTTAAGTCATAAAAGAATTGTTCAGGAGGAAGCAAAAAGATCTTCGTCCGTCTTTATTACTATGACACTCATATGTAGATATTGATATTTGAGGGGAGGGGAGGGGAGCGCTCCGTGTTGTTATTGTCGGAGCCTGCCAGTGGCAAAAGAAAGAGAAGATCGATCGATTGATTTCTTCTTCTCCTTATTATTAAGTGTGTTACTCACCCGAATTAAAGTACCGGAGTTGGCTGAAGAAACTCGAGGGATCGTAGAAATCATCTTTCAATAGTGTACTTTGCAACTATCCAACATCCAGTGGAACGATATCGAAGGTTTTAATATTACTGATATCATTAAAGAGAAAGTCGAATCGACTCGGCTTGTTCATAGTCGGATTAGGTAGCAGCATCCGTTGGAGAAGAGGCAAAGAAAGGGTGGCGGGCCAAAAAGCCTGAAGACGAAACCGCCTGACTCTCTCCTCTCTCTCTCCTCGCTCACTCACTCTCTCCGCTTTCGCTTTCAAGTCCCTTCTCTCGCGCTCTCTCACTTACTCAATCACTCACCACTCCTCCTCCTTCTCCT